AAAGGGTAAAAAGGAGGACTCTGGGAATTACTCACCAGTCAGCCTCACCTCAGTGCCCAGTCGGATCACACAACAGGGACTCCTGGTGCAGCTGACAAACAATATGTCATCCAGAGGGAACTTGACAGGCTTGAGAAGTGAGCCCATGTGAATCTCACAAAGTTTTACAAGACCAAGTGCAAGGTCCTGCACAGGACAATCCCCAGTATCAGCACAGGTTGGGAGATCAACGGATTGAGAGTAGCCCCACTGAGAAGCACTTGGGGATACCGGTGGACGAAAAATTGGATATGAGCCGGCAATGCGCGCTGGCAGCCAGGAAAGCCAACCGTATTCTGGGCTGCAGCAAAAGAAGCGTGGCCAGCAGGTCAAGGGACAGGATTCTCCTCCTCTACTCTGCTCTTCTGAGACCCCACCTGGAGTACTGCATCCAGCTTCGGGGTCCCCAGTACAAGAAAGACATGGACCTCTTTAGAGCAAGCCCAGAGGAGAGACACAAAAACAATCAGAGGGCTTGAACACTTCTCCTACAAGGAAAGGCTGAGAGCTGGGTTTGTCCAGCCTGGGGAACAGAAGGCTCCAGGGAGACCTTATTGTGGCCTTTCAGTATTTAAGGCCACAATATAAGAAAGACAGGGAAAGACTTTTTCCCAGGGCCTGTACTGACAGGACAAGGAGTAGCAGTTTTAAACTGAAAGAGGATAGAGTTAGATAGGACAGAAGGAAGAAATTTTTTATGATGAGGGTGATGTGACACTACAACAGGTTTCCTAGAGAACCTGCGGATGCTCCATCCCTAGAGGCATTCAAAGTCAGGTTGGATGGGGCTTTGGGCACCTGATTTAGTGAAAGATGCCCCTGCTCACAGCAGGGAGGTTGGACTAGATGATCTTTAAAGGTCCCTTTGAACCCAAAGCATTCTATGATAAGAACTGCTAGAACACTGAAGTTTGAATTTTTGTTTTAAGAGAAAAAACATAAAAGCTGAAGAACATGAAAGAAGCAGCACTTACGAGGGAAAATTACCAGCTACAGATAGAAGATCTAGTGAGATGTGTTGATGGGAAAAGGTGAGGAGCACACGCGTAAGGCTTGTGGTTATTTAGCAAGGCCTTGGTCAGACACACTTAAAAAAAGCCAAAATCTCTCAGCGTACTGTTTCTACCAAAGTCTAGCCTAGAAGGCTTATCTGCACGCTATCCAAATATAACCTTCTAGTTTAAGTCTTCTCTACCAGGGTTCAGCTGAAGAAAAAGGAAACTTCATGTTAAGAGTGCTGTTGAACAAATCTGTGGATTTTCCAGCACAGGAGGCAAAACTCACAGTCTGTCCAGTGTGCCAACACCAATCCAAGCCAAGTCAGACCAAAGAAATCCCAGGTAACTGGTATCCCTTTTGAAACACTTTAAAAGGGATCACTGAGCGCTCCCTAAAGAAACTCACTGTCTACCTCACCCAATAAATAACAGAGAAAAAGAAACTGTATTTTTTCTATCTCTGCGTCCCTGCCCATGGCAGGGTGGGTCTTTAAGGCCCCTTCCAACCCAAACCGATCTATGATTCTATGATCTCTTATCACCACAGGTAATTTACACTATGTAATGTACTGGGTTTGGATATAAAACTAGTTTCTTAAGTCAAAGGGTAGTAATATTATTTTTTTTTTTTAATAAAAAAGAGGAAAAAAGCAAAAAGGTCTATGTATTTTAGTTCAGCTAAACAATATCTGGAGTTTTTAACTTTCTTCAATGTACAAACAAAATATGAACTGTCATTTTCATGACGCAACTTTAATTTTTCACATTTCTGCTTTAACCACATTGTAAGTCAAATGCACTGATTCTCTCTGCACTGTTGGTCACATGAAGACAGGTCTGTTCACCCCTACCAACGCAGCAGAGTTCAGTAACACATATCATTTCATATTCTTATTTTTCAGGAAGAGTCATCTCATGTTCAGAGCACAAACTTGGATTCTGATGGAAGGAATATATGTTGATACCTATGTCAAATTTCCATTTTGCATATAAATATTTGAAATTTATTTACAAGCATGTCGCTTCTATTTTTCTAAGCTTCTAATAGGTTTAGCCTCTACTGTTTTCCTGCACTGCAGAATTTAGATTTCCATTAAATAATTTGGAAATAGATTCATTCATAGATTTCATAGATTTCTAGGTTGGAAAAGACCTTAGAGATCATCGAGTCCAACCATCCCTAATCCCCATTATAAATAATGCCTTATAAAATAATATAAATAACTGCCTTATTTTTTTTTTAAGGCTTATTTTGCCTTATGCCAAATAAATAGCTGCCTTATTTTTAAGTGTAACTGCTAAACATATATTGACATGTCATACTTTTTTAAATGTAATTTACACATACATAGGCCATGTTCAAGAAGTAAAGATTTTTCTGCAGAGGTAGCCTACATGGCTTATCCAGTGAAGATGACTTCCAAAGTAGGCATCCTATCTTTTGGAAAGGACGTAGACAGTAGTTTACTACAGACAAAAATACAGCCAGTGCATTTTCTGATTGTACTTACTACAATCTCATGGAGTATTTAAGGCCAATTAATCCCTTGAATTTCATCTGTCGTTACTGTAACAGAAATCTGCAGGTTTTCATACCATGCAAACAAGCCAGGGCAGCTGTGCGTGTATGGTTATAGACACATCCAGACATGTTTTAAAATTTTTAATACAAAATACAAACAGGGATGTAGCTAGAGTCCAGGAGAGAAAGGTATGGTGCTTATGGCACAGCCCAAGGGATGAGCACGGTGCACAAGTGAGCGAAGGCAAGGCGGCTTCCCGCGAAACTCGGAATCACGTGAACGGAAAAGGACAGCGTCGTGAGGAAGCTGGCCTCAGGAGAAAGAGCAGCTCGAACAAGAAATAAGGCTGAATTGCCAGATCAAGTACGTTTTCAGGGTTACGTTTTTAAATATTATATTTCTGCGTCACATTTATTTATGAAGGCTTGCAAACAATATGCTGAAATGAATAAAAACGGGTCCCGGAACAGAACACACCAAAACATACAGAGAGGTGCCAATCTCTACACAGGTGGCAGCATGTGAGTAGTTTAAGCAAAGAGGCTACAAATAAGGAAATACCTGTCAAAATAGGAGGGAAAAGAGCTGTTAAGTGAAAACAAAGAGCTTGCTTTTGAAACAACAAAGATGGCAACCAGCGCAGGAAGCAGAGAATGCAAAATGAATAAATATTCATGTCAGATCAAACGATGTCACTGTAGACAATCTTGTACAGTCAATAATATAGTCATCATTCATTTCCTTAACATGCACATAATTTTAAAAATTAATTCACTACACAGTAGCTGCAGGGAAGAACTAAATTACCTGTAATAATTTTACATGCCCTTTAAAAAGTTTCATAAACAATTACACTTGCAAAATAAGTAGGTATGCAAATGCAAAGCGGTATCTGTAAATTTTTTTATTTCTCATACTACAATTTTTTAAATAAGAACATGCTTTAGGATAGCGCTAAAACTCTTTAGTGTGATCAAGAACAAACAGACTGGATAGTTAATCTTTTCTGAGTAATCTGAGGAAAGTAAATCGTAAATAATGAAAAACGAATGTTGATAAGTTCATTTACAGAAACACAAATTTTTACTCTTAAGAAAACTGCAGCAAATGGTATTTGCTCCTCTGAAAAACAGTGATTTTTTAGATGACAGCAAATGAACAGTAAGCAGACTAGTTCTGGTGCACTGAGAGCTACATACAAAGGTTCTGAAAAAGTGCCTTGGAGTCAGGAGTCTAAAATATAATAATATCTAATACCTATTAGCAGAGCTGCGTCCAATTTCTCAGTGCTGCTATCACAAACACTTACCTCTCCTAACTTTAATATATTTTCAAACTTTGGATAAAATGTCATACTACTCTCTAGGTAAGCTGCCACTAACTCCTTCTTGTGGTTGTGGGGAAGATGAGGAGTATGGCACAGTTATTTTTTTAGAAAGTTATGCGGGGCAAAACAATAACCCGAACATTAATTATCCTTTTTTTTTTTCCCATGGTACAAGCAGCTTTGACACAGAGTTCCTTACCTTTTTATTTTTAATTCTGACATAATGACAAGGTTAAAGTGCATCATTACAGACTGATTCTGTCTTCGGCACTTACTAATTTCTAAAAGTTTAAATGACATGCCAATTGCCATAGCAGTTTTGGTGACCTGGATGCCTGTCTAGGAACTTTACTAAGACTACGAATTCATTCTGCACAGTTAATCAGAACATTATCAGCTGTCACCCTTTTCCCTGCTTATGACTGACAGTCCACCAAGATGTTACTAGTTTCTGCGTATGTCAAGCAATAGTCACCTTATGGTAAATATACTTTTAGAACAGAAATCTAAAAAGGATTCTATGTTATTACTTTCCTCAACACACAAAACCATTATTACCTCTGCACGCTGATTCTTCTATTTTTTTAAAGAATCATCATTCAATTTGTACTCCTATTCAAATAATTTAAAAAAGCATACTTTTGAAGTCTCCATCCCCAAACGTCAACGGATAAGCTCCTGGCTTTTCAATCTTGTACATTTCCTCTATAAAAATGATTTTACAATCATTTATTGTGTCTTCTGGGCCTCTGAAAAACAAAAAGAATAAGAAGTACATTCAATTTAGTTCCTCAGACCTAGATTCTGTACTTTACGAATCCTAAGCAATGAGATAAAGGTAAATAGCATCTTCTTTTTTTTTTTTTTTTGTCACTCATAGGATACTTTACTTCAATTCACATACAAAATTCAGTTTAGTACTGTAACTTCTAAGAAAACCAAAGCACATACTTACAACTCACATAAAGACTAGTCCACTACCCTCAGACTATTTGGCAGCTGAGTAACACAGCTAAAACATTACTATAAAAGTATAGTGTCAGAAATGAACCAGAAACATGACTTGTAAGACACAAAAACAGATGCTACTTGGAACCCACAGAGCAAGAAAAGCAACAGAAAGCTTCAAAAGCCCTACTTACGACTTCTTAAATGTTTTGGAAACCTAAAATCCAATCCTGCAAAGACATGTACAACACTGAATTACATACTGTGAGTAGCCCTGTTAATGTCAGGTTTCAGTGCAAAATCTGTTTACCGTATCTCAGCGATGAGTAATAAATACTCCATGACTCCACAACACTAATGCTGAAAGCCTTCTAGAGAAGGATTAGGAAATACTAAATGTAGAGTAAAAGTTTTAACCTCTTCCCATTACCATTTCTTTTTATTTATTAAAATTCTAATTCTAATGTAAGCGTATCTACGAAGAAAAGGGCATAAAAACACAAACATTTATTTTTCTTTTCCCCCCTCCTCAGGACGATACTATGCCTTTTTCAACTGCCTGTTCTCCTATCATTTTCAATTTGCTACCTAGTTTAGAAATAAGTAGGAATTTTTATTATAATCCATATTGGAAGTATTAATTACTGAACACAGTCTCACTGTTTTCATCAAATCACATTTATTATTACTAATTTCAGAACTGAGCAGTTTGACATGGAAGAAAGAAATTTACTCGCTGGAGAGCTTCGCTTCTTGCAGGGTGAGACCCAGCCGTTAAAAAAAAATCTGAAGGAGATTTGGGTTTGTTGAACTCCTCTGCAAAAGTTAATCTAGTTCTGCTGCAATGCTGCAGTTCCTGTTTTGATTCTAGAAAAACACTTCAAAGTCTGAAACTACACAAGCAACTAAATGAATACAAACCACAAATACCATAGCTTGAATTACGAAGATTATAAAGTTTAACATTTTACCAAGATTGTGATGTTTGTAGTTAAAATGTCCAGTGAGCATCCTGCAACACAAGAAATAAAATACATTTTTTTCTTCTTTCCCATATAGACATTAGATGTGCTGAACACAATAGAGAAGTAGTAGTACACAGTCTAATTCCCAGTTAGGCAAGAGTGAAGATTATACAGTCTTTTGAAGGCTTTACTATGAACGAAAAAGCAAACTATTGTCTTGGTTACTGCTCAGTACTTGAAGCAGGTTGTGTGACACTTTGCTAAGCAAAGCTGAAGTGCACTGCACTATTACCAGCGTCGCTTCAGAAGCAGGGAAATAAGGAAAATTAAGAACTGTAAAGATAATGATTAAATATTGCCACACTGGAGAATATTTTCCAGGTGAAGACCACCAGTAAGTTACAAAGGTTAGGTTTCTTTCAAATATTTAGAGTGTAGAAAGACCTGAGAATACGTTTGAATCAGGTGAACAAGTCTTCTAAGCCATATTTGTAGGATATTTGTAAGAAACAATCACAAAGGTGACTTGAAATTCCTTCTGAAGAAAGTCAGCCATGTGGCCTATCCCTATAAAAAGGTCTAGGCTGCAAAACTAAATCAAACTATGGACAGGCAGGGAAATAAGAGATTAACTCCATATTTAATAAAGATTACTGCAATAACGGAACACCTCCAGAAACACCAGGCTTCAGCCTGGGATCTGCTGCATCCCTCTTGGTCTGCTCCCACCATTTCCCTTGTGCTGACTCCAGTTCTCGGGCTCTGCCACACGCTGACTTAACCAAGGCAGTTTGTGGAGGGAAAACATTCCCCATGGTTGGCCGTACGCATAAACAGCAAATATTAGCAAATTCCAAAGATTTGAGATGCTTCACTAGAGCATACAAAGGCTACATCAACACAAATGCTTCCGTCAGATAGACAAGGGTTTGTTTTTCTGGCCAGGAGAACCACGTATTTGGGATAATCTTCATTTGCACACCAGGGGGCATGAGCTAAAAGCAGTTCTGGCATTGTGGGTGACACCCCTCAGGTTTATTTGGGTTTCATATCGTGCAGTGAACACAGAAGTCTGACTTGCTGCACCTCTGTCTGGATGAGACCGCATGGTCCAACCACCTCCACCAGAACGCTGGACACCAGCTTCTGTTATGACAAAGCATGCCTCTGACAACTACCTATCAGGTTATGGAGAGACTTCCATAACCATCAGGTTCCAACTCCATCACAGTTGGACAACCATCAGAGACTTCCAACTCCATCAGGTTATGGAGAGACTTCCAGTCTGTGAAGGGCTACAGCAGTTAAATTCCTCCAGCTGTTACCACACCTGCAGCTCTACTTACAGAAAAATTCCCAGGTTTGGTTTCCAGTAAACTATTTGAATAGAAAATTGTCCCTGAAAGAGAGAGAAAAGGACTCCAAAGAATGAATACCCCTCTAAAAGGACTGTGGGGACCAGTACACCTCTGCAGGGAGGGTTGAGAGCAGAAGCTTCTCTCTTCTGCAGTAGCAGGCAAAGGCACTTGGAATTATCTACAACACACACCTTTTCGCTCGGTCATAAAAGCACTGCACATTCAAACACAGAGAGGACAAATTGCAGACATCATCTCTGGCAGGAAAGCTAAACGAACCAACACAGACCGAGCTTCTCACAGCATCAAGGTGTCTCTGCCTGTTTTCTGTGGATTGGAGTCTTCTCTTAACTCCCTTATACTTTTTGTTAGTCCTAGATTATTTAAAGTTAAAAAAAAAAGAAACAAAACAAATCTCCTGACACTCTTTAATGTTGTAAATCTAGTCACGTTAGGACCTTCCTCAGCTCAACCACTGCATGCCTCCCCATCCAGTTTGATTCCTCTAGGAGCTTATTTCTAACATAACTCAAAAGTAGTGAATCTATTTTAAAATCAAAATACAGAATTATGCCTTCTTTCACCTAAGTAATGTGAAATTTTATATTCATATAAAAAAATACATCTATTGGTTTGTATATCTATATGCTTACAAAGCAAAAGATGAAAAATTAACAAGTACATCTTAAACTTTAGGCATACCTGTAAGTAAAAGTAAAAATAGTCATAGAAGTTGAATAATATGTTGCATATTAGTAAGCACAGAACTACATGTGCATCTGCCGAAAATCTGAAGCGTAAATTATTAAATAAGTTAAAATCTTCTCAAGAAACAATACTGACAATCTCAATGTAGTGGCTACAAACATGACCTTACCCATGTCATGGGACACAGAGATACTCTCAAACTCCAGTATACCTCAGACAAATCTCAGCACATTTGCAGAACACATCTTTCTCCCATTTTTGCATCTTGCAAATCATCAACGTGTGTGTGGTTTCACCTCTAAATACACTATCCCTATTACAAGCAAAATCACATCCAGGAAAGACTTGCAACACTTCCTCCCCTCTCTCTACATTGCTTTATTGTTCAGAGGTGCATTGCTTTAATTTACCTCCTTTTTTACTGCATTTTGTCCAGAAATGTAGAAAAAAGTTTTTAAAAAAAGCTTTTCATCACGTGTAATTCTTTGCCTACAGTCTTTAGACAAGAAGGAAGGTGGCAAAACACCACAAAGCTGTACTCACAAATCCACAGACACTTGTGTGACTGTTACCCATATCTTTGGGAAACAAGCCTATCCTCAGCTCTGTAGATTATTTATTGTGAGTAAATTCTACTGGTGCCAATTTAAACGATTAAAATGACTTTTAACTACACCGATTATCACATTGTTTTCTTGAATGGTACCATGAAAAGATTTGTAAATTGGTTCAACAATATTAGTGTTCCAAAAGGCACCACAGCAAAAAATTTTTGTGAACTGTGGAGAAGCTTGGATTTTTGTCAACTTTATTACAAAAAATAACAGGTATATGATCTCAACCTCAAAGCGCTGAAGCACAACATAATTTTTTTTTTATATAACTAGTTAAATAAAACAACTGCTTTAATTAGTACTAGAAAATATAGAACTCTTAAAATAAATTTAAAAAATAAATGCAGCTGCAAGGAGGTAACAATTAGTAAAGGTATGTTTCTCTCACAGCACTGCAATCCAACTGCCATAAGCAATACTGTTCTCACATCTGGATGGAACTGATAAAATAGACAGAATTCATCATTTCTGTGTGACATACCAGGTCATGTTCCCTCCCTTTTGGGCACCTCCTGTATTTTTCCTTTGGGATAAGGGCACTCAGAAAGTAACTTTCAGAGTGTTTTTCCTAAAAGATATCCAGTATTTGAACCAAAAAACACATTTTATTTTCTGCTATGAGTAACATAAGGAGCAAGCACATATTATCAAGTAACTTTACAAAGCTGGTATGTTCCAGTAAACACCACAGCTGCGCATCCAGAACTACAGAGGATGATCAACTACCACTGTGACAAATAATGCCTTAGAATAAATGGTTAAGCCTTACCAAAGCTAAAAAACTCTGCTCAGCTAGTTGCTCTTAAAAAGCCAAATTACGCATACAACAGCTTTAATAATGATCAGGCTACACATCCTTTGTCTTAAAAATTATGGTTATCTCATAAAATTGTGGTTATATTGTTCTGTGAAATATACACGACATCACCTTTCTTCATTTCTTCACCTTATCATACCAAAAATGAGATTAAAAAAATAAATCTGGAGTTATACATTACACACAGTAAATAAGGCTGCATTTGTATTTCATGTAAGTACACAAAATTCTTTAAAGAAATTAAATCCTAAAATAGAGTAAGGCCCTTCAATACAACAGAATTCCTAATACAAGCTTTTATTTTAGATAGGTTAGCCATAGCCAGATAGAAACCTTAAC